GTGTGCACTGAGGGCCCCAGCGTTGCCGCTGCCCCAGCCCTGGCCCTGCTCGCTGGGCCCACAGGCATCAGTGACACATTTAGAATCTAATAATACCATGTCCTGAGTTAACTGAATGGAAACGAGTTCTACTAAAACCACATGGAACTATTTTGTACACTGTTTTCAGCAACATGCCCACAAGCTCAGTTTCAAATCTATACCCATCTGCTTTTTAAAAAATAAAAATCAGAGGACATAAGCTTTCCAGATTTACTTGACAATTCATGGGTAGGAGACCTCTTAATGAAGTACACTTTGTTAAGCTTTTCATCGTAAACACACACCATGCTTCATGCACATAACATATACTACACACAAATACACGACACACGTGAAGACAGTTCACATGTATACATATATACTACTTACACACCCACATACATACACTATTACTACTACACACACACACACACACATACACACTACTTATATATACATACACACATATACTTCCATATGCACACATTGTGATGGTTAATTTCATGTTTCTTTTTAAAAAAAATATATTTTATTGATTTTTTACAGAGAAGAAGGGAGAGGGTAGAGAGTTAGAAACATCGATGAGAGAGAAACATCGATCAGCTGCCTCTTGCACAGCCCCTACTGGGGATGTGCCCGCAACCAAGGTACATGCCCTTGACCACAGTTGAACCTGGGACCTTTCAGTCCGCAGGCTGACGATCTATCCACTGAGCCAAACTGGTTAGGGCTAATTTCATGTTTCAACTTGGCTGGACCACAGGGTGCCCAGGTATTTGGTCAAACATTATTCTGGGTGTGTCTTCAAGGTTTTCAATGAGATTAACATTTGAATGCTTAGACTGAGTAAAGCAGACAGCCTTCCCTAACATGAGTAGGCCCCATCCAATCAGTTGAAGCTCTGAACAGAACAAAGTGTCTAAGAAAAAGGGGACTTCGCCTGCCCGGCTGTTTAATCTGCGACATTGGTCTTCTCCTGCCCTTGGACAAGAGCTTATACCATGAGCTCTCCTGGTTCTCCGGCCTTTAGACTTGGACTAGGAGCTATAGTTTGCTAAATACAGTGCTTGAGACTTCTCAGCATGAACCAGTTCCTTCTAATAAAGCTCTCTCTCTCTCCCCACCTATCTGTCTATCTATATCTATCTATATGTCCATCTATCTCCTATTCTGCTTCATTGAAGAACCCTAATTAATACATACACTTATAGACACACACTACTTATAGGTATACACATACATATGTATAGGGTGGGGCAAAAGTAGGTTTATAGTTGTATGTGAAACAGAGTTTATTCTTATATTATTATTTATTAATTATTACATTATTTTCCATATGAAAAACTATAAACCTACTTTTGTCCCACTCTGTTATACATGTACTACTTATACACACATATACATATATACATACATACATATATACATGCATATAAATCACTTAGCTCAGAAGAGCTCAGTCAAAATTTCCATTTAATATCTCAAAATCCACCTGGCAGCCAACTTTAACCAAGAATAAAATGCAAGAGATCATTTTTGTGTATGCAAAGTACATTGCTTAATATAATATTTCAGGAAAAGAGAGTTCTGCTTCGGCTTGATTTTCAATTTACTCTCCTGAATACAAGCACTCAGGATGATAATATGCTTACAAATGCCAGACAAAGGGAGAGAAAAGCTTTAAATGTCTTACCTCTTGATATTTTTATTTGTTTCAGGACTCACTTTAATTCGCCCATTGAGGTCTTGTTTTCTTTGAGTAAGAAAATAAATTTTACTGAATGTTGTTAAAATAAAACACTAATCAAGTGAACAATGATTGGACAAATTGAGTGGTAAATGTACAAATTCTCTATCATTGTAATTGTTCAAGCTCTAAGTGCAAATAAAAATTTTCTTACATCTTGAGCTGGAGATCATTTAAGTTTCCTTTTTTTTTGTTAACAAGAAACATGTTTTCTGTTCTCTTCTCAAAATGCATAAGAAAATGTGAAACTTGTTATTTAACAAAATCAACTGTCCTCAGATACATCTTGTAAGAATACCCCAAATGGTCAGCATTGAAGTTAAAGTTCTATGCTGGATTCAATCAGAATATAAATTTCTACTCAATAAATCACATATAATTGCCTATTCTGTTTTTTAAATAAGAGTAATAATGTTAATAAAAACTTTAAAATATTAAAACTAATAAATATTAATAATAAATATTTTAAAATAATAAAAATATATCCTCTCATATAAACTCAACCATTCCCACAACCAAACCTTCTAAAGATAATTGAGTTACGGTGAGCTACAAAGGCAAAAAAAAAAAACACCAACCTTAAATGGTAGAAAAATTAATGACTCGCTTCTCAGAGGACATATGTTTCAATTTACTCTCCTGAATATAAGCCAATTCCTTATGAAAAAGGAATTGGCTTGTATTATGTTCCCCCCCATTAAAATGCATTGATAATACCAAAAGGAGCAGAAGCTGAACCCTAAGGGACAGTAGAGGATGGCAATAGTATGTGACTGACTACTGCTGCCATGTCCACATAGTGGGACGAGAAGTGGGAGGATGTTCTTAGTCCCACTGTGCGCATTTGCCCAGCCCTCCACTTGGCTGCCTTCTGAGACCACCATCCTTAGAGAAGTTAATTTTCAGAATTTTAGTCAAACCTCACTCTTGGCTATCTTTGTCGCTTTGGAGATCCACTTTGAAAATATTATCTAGACTGTGCTTTCACTGGGCATAAGAAATTCAATTCAGTAACTCATCCTGAAAAACAATCAAAGTCCAAAATTTGGGAGAAAGGGCAACATTGGGACATTTCTTCAAAAATAAGTGATTTTTTTAGAGCAAGGAGGGAAGGACATGCGGCCCATTACTATTTTCCAATTCCAGGCTAATAAAATATGTCTGTAAAGTTAAAATGCTAAATCATTTTTCTTATGAATTGTCACTTACAGAAATCAGATTTAAGGCACTAACAAGTCTTAGCCAGTGGTATTTTCACTTGCCCTGGGATTAGTTTTGTTAACATTGTCAAGGTCTTCACCAGTTTTTTAAAAGTTTAAATCAGTTTCAAACAGTATTATGTGTTATACATATATATATTCCATATTATTAATGGTTAATTCAAGATTTTATATACATATAAGACTTTATATATATATATAATATGTATATTCAAGATTTTAAAGAAAATTATTATACTGATATTAAATTCATTTTTATTATAAAATTGCCTATAAACAATGTAGTTAAATTAACCTTTGGGATTTAGTTGGCCTATATGTAAATATAAATTCAAAGAAAATGTACTATAGAGTCTCCAAATGAAGGCCAGGGCAGTAGGGGTCAGACACAGAAGAGAGAAGACAAATTTAAAGATGTGACCCATTCATTATCACTGAGAAGATCACACAATTAATCTGGATGAAAATAACTAAGATTGAGAAACATCAAAGCAGTTCTCATTCTCTGTTAGCTTCATCTGCCCTGGTTTTTGCTTTGATAATTGTTTCTAGATCTTGACTTTAGAAAACCATGAAAACTTCATGCCAGTTAAGTCACATCTGAGCTTTATCCATACAAATAAGAATGCCCTTGAAAGGGTGTCAGACATTTCCAGGGCCCGATGACCAGAAAAACTTTCGATGCAATTATCCTTAGCTTATCTTTATTAATTCCCATTGTAATACTTGCTATAAATCAGTTTAGAAAAGCTTGCTCACATACCTCTGACTTTGTAATTTTGTCTTTTATATTTCTTCATTTAAATATAATATTTGGCTCATTTTTAAATTGTTTAAGAAGATACAGAATAAGAGATTCTATAGCAGGTTTTCCTGAATTTACTTTAATGTAACTCAAACATGTGGTCCTATGGAAGCAACATTCACCCTATTCCTTTGCCTGCTATCTCTAATAGGCCTAAAACTGCAACTTCATCTGCGACAGAGAAAAACATAACACTCCTATTTCTAATGAGTGTAAAAAGCTGACCTAAAGAAAGGGAGCCCCATCAAATAGGAGTTTTACTTACCCTTTCTCATACTGGTCAGCCCTTTGATTAACTTGGATAAAACTCCCAAGGCCTTGGTTTCTTGATCACGTTGGGGCAGAGGCGGGTGGGCAGAGCAACAGAGACAGAGAAAGAGAGAACAATTCAATCTCTTAGGAAAACAGCAGATTTCTCACAACAGGTGTAAGATGTTATCAGTACCTAAAGCATCAAAGCACCGGAAGTCCTTAGAAATATTGAGTTCAAGGGGCTCTACTCCTGCAATATGCTGATGAGATATAGTAACTATTTAATAGTAAGGTCCTAACCATCCTCAGTTATGATTAAATCAGCTTAAAAGTATAAGTTCTGCCCTAGCTGGTTTTGCTCAGTGGATAGAGCAACAGCCTGCAGACTGAAAGGTCCCAGGTTTGATTTCAGTCAAGGGCACATGCCTGGGTTGTGGGCTCGATCCCCAGTAGGGAGCATGCAGGAGGCAGCTGATCAATGATTCTCTCTCATCAATGATGTTTCTATCTCTCTCTCCCTCTCCCGTCCTCTCTGAAATTATATATATATATATTATAAGTTTCTCCAGCTCTCAGCTTTTTCTTTCTTTGTCCTTTATGGATGGTTTGGTGGGAAGTAACTTTAATATATCTGTTCAGACACTGTCTTCTTTAAACATGAACATCATTCACAACAGGGGAGAAGTCAGATAATCAACATTTTAAATCTTCTTTAAGTTGAACATTTAGAGAAGTCGTTTTAAAATAAAAAGTCCAAAGTTCTGAGTAATCTTGGAAAAGTGGAAGTGACACTATGATGGTTCTAGCATGTTATATAAATTGACCATAACCAATAAAATTTTCACATGCCAATAGCATAAAACTATTAGGAAATATAAGAACTTATTCCTTTCAAGTCCCCAATTATCCAAGCATTCCCCTTTGCTATTTTCATCCATCTCAGATTTCACTGTGATAAGACTATTGACATTTTAATTTTTTTTTCAAAATAAGAAAAAAGGAAGGGAGGGAGAGAGGGAAGAATAAAAAGGAACTATGAACTCCCCTTACTATACCAACATGATCAGTCATTTCTGCATCAAAGCCCAGTTGCTATTAAGCTATGGCAGATTACCGATCACTTTTGTCCTCCTTTCTAGCCCATGAAATGATTACTTGTGATGCTCACCCTACTCTTCCTCTTTTCTATTACTTTTGTGGATCTTTCTAAAGTTCATTTTTTAGATATCTGAAATCCCACCTTTTCCTGCAAAGTTTATATAATCGCTTACAGAGAATTGACCAGTTTCCCACTTCCTTTGTTCTCCACTTGAAAAATTAACCTGTAATAATACTTGCATATTTACATTATAATAATATATTATTAGCAAGCATCCCATGTCTGTGGGATTACTATCACTAACACTTTTGTCAAATAGACTTTCAGTGTTCTACCTTAGAGCAAGTCGAGAATGCATCTACCAAGAGTGACACGGAAAGCTAGAATACCATTCTGTGCACAGACTGGCACAGATAAATAATTTTAAAAGGTAACAGAGACAAAAGAAATAATTATCACATGAGGAAGGCAAACTTAGTGACTAACCAAATACAAAGTAAACAGCCAAGCTGGGGTAAAAACAGAGCTCTCAGAAATCCTTACCCTTTGTCATTCTTGACTGTTCTGGGGTTTTCTTTAACGACACTGTAGAGAGTTTGGTTTCTTTCAACATGAAAAAATAATGCCAGTAACACAAATCAATTTTCTAATACATCAGTGAAAGTCTAGAACTATAACTTACTCCCTTAAATGCTATCAATTCAGTAACTGACCATTCATGAACCCTTTTAATGAGACAAAATAAACAAAAGCATAGCTTTTGACATTGAGATATTTACAAATATATTTGAAATATACATTATGAAGTGACTCAACTAAGATTTCAAATGGAAATGGCCTTAGTGTACAATAAATACATCAGTGGTGAAGGTCTGTGCTCCTAGCATTAAGTCTTATAATAAATATATTTAGTTCATAAACCAGCCTTTTGTCCACTACTTGGAGCATCCAGATTTCTTCCATTTTTGGATTTAAAAGGGAACTTAATTGGTGATCACCTAGGTCATACCCTTCATTTTATGGGATAAGGAAACAGAGGTCTCCCGAGGTTAAGTGACGCGCTCTGGGTCACCCAAATTGATGCTGGTGCAGAGCCTGCCCTAAGACATCCCCCCATCTCCTGACCCTGACTGGGCAGCTTGTTCCACCAGCCTTTCTGATCCTTGTTCTGAGCAGATGGTCTCCCTCAGCAAATACAGTCTAGGACTCAACCAGAGAAGCCTGTTAGAGACTTAATCAGGCCTTACCCTTTGCCATCTTTGTTTGGCCGGCTATTCAGAAAGAGGAGACTGTCAAGGCTTTGGGCTCTGTAAAACAAAAAGAAAGTCAAATAAAAAATTGCATATTGCAATAAAATTATGTGGTATCTTGAGAGGTCAACTACAATAAACATTCTTCATGAATTGCTCATTTACTCTTAGTGAACAAAAGAGCAGAAATCCTTCTGAGCAATTATGTCTGAACTAAATGTACAATGCTGAGGGCACCACCCCATCTGCTAGTACATTTTCCTGCCAGAGGATCCAACTCCCTCTCAGTCAGTGTCTGACAGAATAAAACAAGCAATCTGGGAGATCACATTTTCAGGTTAGAGACAGATGCACTTACCTTTTCTCTATTTGCTCTGCCTTAGGAGTTGTTCTGAAGATGCCATCAAGACCTTGATTTCTTCAAATGTATTAAATAAAAAAACCTTGTCAGTGGTAATAATAGAAACATAGACTCTATAGAAACATAGACCAGTTTACATCCAAGGCAGGAAATAGACGCTTGTTGGGAAAGATGAGCCACATTCTTGAAATTGCTTTATTCCAAACAGATCCTTTGATAGACTCAAAATTTAAATTGCAGTGGAGCTTAAAGAAAAGTTACAAATTGGGGATGTATAACCCGTAACAGGTACACAGATGTATTGTTTGGGTTCATGGAGTGTTTTTTTCTTGTTTTTTTGTATTTTTTAAAATATGTTTTTATTGATTTCTTTATAGAGATAAAGAAGCATTGATGAGAGATCTGCTGCCTCCCACAGGGTCCCTACTGGGAATGGAGCCTGCAACCCGGGCATGTGCCCCGACTGGGAACGGAACCAGTGACCTCTTGGTGCCTCAATCAAACTCAACCACTGAGCAACACCAGCCGAGTCATGGAGTGTTTTTTATTTTAATGTGAGCCAATAGTTACAAGATGGCATGACCTATAGAAACCTGAATTTTCAGGACCTCCTATAAATGTCCTGCAATGCTGGGCTCAAATTCTCACATGGCAATACTCAGAGGGAGCTGGGGAGCACCTGTGCTCTTTGGAAAGGATATTCCCCTAAGTTTTATACAGTCATTTACACCGGCCTGGCCTCCACAGGCCATTGGGTCTGGGATTCATGACCTCATACCTCCTTCTCATGTGGATCATTATGGTCAGAACAGAATATGAAAAATACATCTCTTGATCAATGAACTCATTTGGCATTTGCTTTTTCTCCTTTTCTTTGGTCCCTGTCTCTTCAGTATGTTAGAATGCAAAGTGACAGAGAGCTAGTTTAAACTCCACACATCTCTAACACAAACCTCAATTTTTTATAATTTTTAAAGTATGCAGTTATAAATGATTCAAAATACAGAGATAATGTTACCTAAGATAATAAGTGGTTTATGTAATGGTTAAACTTAACAGCAGTTAGTGATCAAACCAAACTCTGTTTATATACTAAGGTAACATTCAGGAAGAGAAATGTGATTATTTCTTTAACTGCTTTATTAAACAAATGTAATGTGAAAATCAAAGTCACTTTAATATTAGAATCTTTGCATTGTAATAACCATTCATAATAATGATACAATGCTGATTTCCACAAGCTTTATATTCAAAATTTGTAGGATACTTTTGACTAGCCCAGAATGTGAGTCTTCACACTATATAATTCAGTTATAAAGCAAAAAGTAAATGTATTAAAATCTTACCTATTCAAGCTTTTGTTCATTTTGATTATATTATCCAATTCTTCACTTTTGGAAGAAAAAAAAAATTTCACATCAGTCACAGCCTGAACAGAATCAAACAGCAGATTCACCTTAAAACAACTATTTCTGAGTTCTCTGAAATACAACACATATCCCACCTCTATCACCTATGGAGATGCTGTCTACCCTTCAAAGCTGTCCTCAGACACCTCTTTCTCGAAGAACTTTTTTCCCGTCTTCCAACTGAACAGAGTCCCTCCATGTTTGCAATCCCAGCAGCATTTTGTTTATTTGCACCTCCTCTAGGGCACTTACATGATTGCACTTCACATGGCAACTGCGACTTGTCCCATACAATTGTCCCTGCTCCTGCGCATACAAGTGTGCACACAGACATACTTAGCATTTGGAACTGTGTTTTACCTCAGATCCTCCTCAGTCTTTAACATAGTGTCTTTCATCCAGTAGATGCTTAATACCAGTTTTTAACTGAATCAACAAATATAGGTACATTGGCTAATTGTAGATCCTACTCTTGCACAATGTATTTGCACAAAGCAGCTATTCAACAACACTTGTTCATCGTTAAGTCTGACTGCTTTCTTGAATTTTTGTTAACCTCATCCCAGGCCAGCTAAATTTGTTAGCCTGTCTTTGTATTTGAGTCCTGTAAAGTCTTCACTGTCTGCTTCTTTGAGAACAACCTGTCTAAGCGAATGCCCTGGGCTCCAGAATATCCCTTACAAACACAAGCTTACCTCTCTGCCCCGAGAAGGCAACCTCAGTGAGTTTCATGGCCCTCTTCCCTCCTCAGATGTATCCTTTTCTCGTAGGTCCACCCTCTTCACCACCATTTCTCTGGTGTTCCTCATTCAATTTTTCAATTAAAAAATTTTGGTTCTCTCTGGTTCCTGATCTAGAACCACATGTTTTTCATACTTTATCAATGTTTCTCTTTTTTCTTGATTCATTACTGGTGTTTACCAGGGGGCTGTGAGGCCCAGTAACTTGATAGTTATACATTCAGGCTCCCAAGTGAGGAATGCCTGGATACCTGGAATCCAGTGCAGGATTCGCCACGTACGAGTTGGCGACTCTGGGTGAGCTACCTAACCTCTGCCTTGACTTCTCCATCTGTACAATAAGAATACCAACTGGTCCCACCTCACAGAATCAATAAACTAATGAGGATAAAGTGCTTATATGATGTCTGGCAAGCCATAAATTAATTTTGGCCATTATAATAAACAGTTCCCAGTCAAAAATAAAATTTTCATTTTTTGCTTTTGAACTGCATTTAGAGATGCTAAGACATTGGCTTAGCCTTGGAAAGGTATAGTTGCTGAGTCATGTATGTGCTTTGAAGAGGCCTGACACCAGGTAACAACAGTCCTCTTAGAAACCCTTAAGAACACGTTAGATCCACAGCCATCACATAGCTGAACCTGTTCAGGTAATATTATGTATTCTATGGTAGGATTGAAGGCCGAGAATAAATACTGAAATACAAAAATCACTGACTGTGAAAAAAATAAATGTTTTCTCTTTATGTGGGACACACATTACCCAGGCCCCTGACACAATGCCCCATTGTCTTTTCTTGCTTGAAATTCTACCGTCCAACTCTCAGGCTGTGAAAGAGCAAACCTAACAATCCTGTAAATTTTAGCCACAGACCTTTCTGACTGGTATGAGTCACAATAATGAGATTATCAGGATTGGGGGTTGCTCATGTTTATCACAAGAAAATTAGCATAAATCATGAGGAGACACTCTGTAGTAAATTAAATAAAATAGAGATTACATCCTGAATGAAGAAGTTCAGCTTTTAAAATGACCTTAAATTGATGAAAGCTTTGGATATTAAGTTTCACCATTGCATTTGCAATAAATTAAATGCTTTTAATCAGATAAGAATTTCACAAAGGAACTTCACAGAGAGCAGCTGGGATAAATAAAGCTATTCTAGTCCCTGTGAACATCCCACAGGAACAATACTCAGCTACGGATGCAGCAGACATTTTCCCTGCCCCCCCCAGTCAAAGCAGCAACTTCTCTCTGAGAAGAATGTATCTGGCTTTGGGGTCTGTGCATCGTGGCTGGGGAGAGTGGACAGGAAAGTTCAACTGACTGAAGCTCTCGTTGTCTTTGTTTGATTTATGAGAAACCATAATTTCTCTTCAGTATCACTCCCCTATCTCTCTCTTAAACTTCCCTTTCACCTACCAAAAACTATCTATTTTTAAACCCTATTAAAAACAAAATATTACCTAGATCAAAAATGAATAATTAAAATTAGAGATCTAATTTGATGAGAGAAGAAATGGAAATGAAACATTCCTGATGCTCTCTAGAGTTCCCTTCCAGATTCAGAGCTCCTCTTCTGTTTGCGAATTTGCACAGAGCTAAGTGCTACTTCTGTTTCTTCTCTGCAGTCCTTTCAACTGAGGCTGCAATCCCTAACAACACTAAGCATTGCTAAATTCCATGAAGCAAAAAAATTTGTAGGCATGGGGATTTAAACTATGAAATATTAATATTCAAGGTTTTCTCACTGTGCATCATTATTTTGCCTACTCTATGAACACCTACTTTGTACAAAGCATCAGGTCAGACTCAGTAAATGACCTATGATGAATAGAAGAAACATCCGCTCTGATAGAGTTGATAGAGATGATGAGACATTTATATAAATACAAAATAGCACCAAGTATGATTAGTTGTTATAAAATATAAATAGTGGGGCTCTAATTGCTTAGAGAAGCAGAAGTCACACTTCACTAGATCACTCAGGGAAGACTTCCCAGAGGGAATGATATTTGACCTGGATCTTGAAAAATAGGTAAGACTTGGATGGACGGAAATGGTGACCTTGAGGCTGGAAATGGGTAGAATGGCATAAACATGGCAGAGTATCTGGAAACTATAGGAAGGAAATAATTTAACTTGGTATTGAATATAGGGTAACTGTAAGGGTAAAGTCAGAAATAACTCTAGAATGTTAGGTTGGAGCCAGCTCAGCAAGGGCCTTGAATGAGGTTTTATGTGATTGAGTGGGCACGGGGGGCCAGTGGAGTATGGTTCAAGCAGAAACTTAGGAAAAGAACTTTAGCGGGAATGATGGGTAGTCATGGTGCAGTGGGAGCAGAGACTGGAGGAGTGTAAGTAAATCTGGATGAGCTACTCTAATAACCTGTGCTGGAGTCAATGAAAGTTTGAACAGGGGTGAGGCCATGATGGCATGAGGGATACTTTAGACACTTAATCCATATATGTCTGGTTACATAGAGAGAAAAAGACATGGACAGATCAAGAATGATTCCAGAAAGATGAATATTGGAGCAGAGGAGAAGTCTGGAAGCAGCCTCTTTTGGAAGGACGTTGAATATGGCTTAGGACATGCTAAATGGGAGTGCTGGGAGAGAGATAAAGAAATCGGACAAGCAACATAATTACAGGACTGGTGGTTTGGAATGAGGTCAAGATCATGGAAGCTGAGGTCACTAGGCTATGTACTGTCACCAGAAGAGAAAGCAGAGGAAGAAAAGTATCCATAAATATCAGCAAGTTTGTCAGGGACACATCCACAACCACTGATTCTTTCTTCTTTTATATTCTGTATTATATTACAAACATCAGAATGTTGCTTACACTGGGAACTTTAAGGTACTGGTAAAGCATTTTGAAACATAAAGAGAAGAAAAAAACAAGCTCAAAGCTCTGAGATCTCACCCCTTGTCAGTTCTCTGAAGTGAAGTAGCCACTTTGACAATGTTCTCCAGATCCTGACGACTTCAAACAATGAAAAGTAAATACAGGTCAATGATAGTAGAGCTACCCTTGAAGCAGCTAACATTTCTCTTCTGTTCTCAGTGAGAACAAAAAAGCCATAGTTCATGTGATATTTAGAGATTATTGAGTCTAACTGAATAACAAAATAGTTCTATAATATCAGCTCATGGTACACACACATACACACACACCACTCTTTCATTCCACCTGGGCATTGGTTCTGCCATCTAGTGCTCACTGAAACAACTACAGTTTCTCCTAAGATGTAATTGGGTGAAGTTCTATACCTAAAAAGAAGGATGTGTGAAAGAAAACACAGTTAACTGCAGAAGTAAACACAGAAGCATGTTCAAAATTTTTTCAACCGGAACCAAGGAGCATTAAGCAGCCTATGCAGAGGATTGATTCATCCCTCACATGAGGTGAAGAGGCACTGTCTTCTTAGGCTCCAAATGAGAATCCCCTTTGGAGATTCAGAAGATACACATGCGTACTAAAGGTTGTGAGAAGTCTTATGTCAGAGAACTCAGTATTTCCTCAGTGTGTTGGGCCAGTGAACCCTTCCTCTGCAGAACATGCATTAGCGTCGGGTGGCACATGGGACACAGTCTGGGAAATGTTGAAGTAGAGCTGCACCTTAAGTTACTAGATACTAGAGAAACACGATGTTTCCCATAGGTAAGGTATCTGTGTGATGTATGTTTCAAAAAGTTTTGACTGAAAAAATTGGTTTACCATACTGATTAAAATGGTAAACTTATAATAATAAAAATTGGCTTATCATATTGATAGGTCTACAAAATAGCACTGGCTCAAGAGCTAATTTCAAAAAACGTTTTTTTTTCTAAATAATAAGTCATAATGATGTATCCAAAACAAATACTAAACTAGAAGAGATGTGCAAGACAACAGGTGTAAATCAGGACTGTACTGGGGAAACCTTTCCTAAAGTTGTCAATACAGTTTGTGGGCCTCTTCCTGATGATGAGGTAGAGCTGGTTGTGACCTTATTTATACAGCCATGGGCAAAGCTTTTGTAGAACAAGTTCAATCGAATGACTAGATTTCTACCTTTTCATTTATACAACACCAACCTTGGGACATGAAGAGATGGTTTTCTGTCTAAGGGGTTTAATCTTATTCCATTATCACATTCAGACAATTTTGGTTGCTTTCTTTATGTAAATCTTAGAATAGAAATTAAATAAATAGAATTCTTAGGTACATATAAGAATACTTATTTCCCACTATATTGAAATCAGCTGGAAAACTATCTATTTTATTGTTAACTAGAGGCCCTGTGCACAAGGGGGTCCTTCAGCCTGGCCTGCACCCTCGCACAGTTCAGGAGCCCTCGGGGGGGTGTCCAACTGATGACTTAGGCCCACTCCCCATGGCAGTCAGACATCCTTTATGCTATTGCAGAGGCAGGAGAGGCTCCCGCCAGCCACCGCTGCTGTACTCGCCAGCCATGAGCCTGGCTTCTGGCTGAGCAGCTCTCCCCTTGTGGGATCAGGCCAAAACCAGCTCACCAACATCACCCATTGGCCAGCCAGGGAGGGACCATAGGAGGGCTCCAGGACATGTCCCACCCATCTGGCTCAGTCCCGATTGGCCAAACCCCAGCAGCAAGCTAACCTACCAGTCGGAGCATCTGCCCCCTGGTGGTCAGTGCACATCAGACCAAATGGTCAACCAGTCGACTGTCTGCTTCTTGGTGGTCAGTGAATGTCATAGCAAGCAGTTGAGGACCTTAGCATATCTTTAGCATATTATGCTTTGATTGGTTGAATGATTGACTGGTTGACCGTATACTTAGCATATTAGGCTTTTATTATATGTGATGATTACTTAGTATTTTTAAGTGTTCTAATACAGCATACTTTATAATTTCTACAAATGCATAGACATAGAAATAGTTCATTGTACCTTATATTTCTTTCAGCAGATCTGTTGGTTTCTGTATATACACTTGCTTTAGGTGGACAAATCTGCCTGTATTTTAAAAGTTAAAATAATGTTTGTTAGGTAAGAAAACACCGCTCTGTAAGATTTAAATTGTTATTAAAACATTTACGTCCAAAATATCAAAGTGTATTAGAACACTATTTGAGATTACAAACTTCTCTAGAACTCAACCGCAGATTCCATTTGAAATTCTAGAGTCTAATATACTAACTTTGCAATTTAATCTATCTCACTTAATATATTTTAAACCACTGAGTAGATATAGAAATATCTATTCTAAATATATTCATTTATGTTTGTTTTATTTTAGTTTTTCAGCCATCAATAAAGCATTTTCATACTTATCTCTTTTAGATAATGATATAATATAAAATATTAAGAATCATTTTTTGTTATTAGACATCAGAGGGATAACTTTTTCTTAAAGACATTCCATTTGAATACTATCAAGAAATATAACTGCTCAGATATGAAGGGAAATATTTTTAAATTTCCAGTATACCCACTATATCCAGAATGATCACATTGAATTGACAGAATTAAATTTTACAATGCTAGGTTCTGTCACAATTTATGATATAGGTTTTTCTCTGCTCTTTTTCCCAGTATCTTATTGACCTACTTACACATTCTTGCTTGTTCTCAAGAAACTGTATTCAACTTTTTTTTTGTACTCCCGAGGACATGTGTTAATTACATAGGAAACACTTCCCTTTCATATTCTTTCATTAAAATCATCTTGCTGTGATTAAAGTAATCAGGACTTAAAGCATGTAAGTTGTCCTAATTTTATTTTTAAGATCATTGGTGGAAGAAATAAATTAGACTACTTAAAATGGATTAGACCAATTCCCATGAAATGTATCTTCTTTTGAATCTACATAAGTTCACTACTTTAGAGTTGCTGATTTTAGATTAGAATTTAGGAGCACTAAATCCAATTTATGTTATCTCCCTAAAAATGCTATTTAAATAAATATTTAATTTCTCAATGTTATAAAAGAAAAATAATGTAAGATTAAAAGCTTGAGAAGTTATTTTTAAGACTATAATTATAACCATTGTACAAATAAAAAGTTACAAATATGGCCTATATTTTTCATTAACTCAATGAAGATGTATTCTCTTAACTCATTAAAAAAATGTATCCTCTTATTCTAAGAACATTTCAAAGGCCCTATGAAGTATCACTGGAGAGAAATTCAGATCTGGGCTTTTAACTCAATGGGCTGAACACTTAATGCTACATAGCTTTGTCACCTAGTTAGCATTTTCTAGCTGCAGCTACCCTCTTACTATGAAATAGTTCTAGAATTGTCTTACATGTTGTAAAAAAAAACCCCACCATTACAAAGCAAAAATACAAAAGAGCCAAAGGCAGGCAATGAAGTGGATTTGATGTCTTAATTGAGACACCATTTTTAAGTTTCACAATTATAATGGAAATGTGCAATGTACATCTTGAAAAATGATTTGAGCTTATTAAACAGTTTAATAGGAACACATGGGAAGATGTTCAGGTCTCTGAATTTGTTTCTCAGTACTAATTACAGAGTGTCAGAGATTCAAAGCGGAAAAGCCGTCATCTTTTATTCTTGATTCGGAGACAAGTTAATTAGAACATTTTTCAAAATTTGTGATAGTTTTGAAGAAAATTACAAATTCCTTAGCTAAAATAAGACTAAAAAACTACCCAACGGTATTTCTTACCTAGGGAGGGTTTGAGCAGTAACACAAAATTTCAAAAACATCTTTGATCAGAAATTGTAGTTCTTAATGGGAAACCTAACTATGACTGAATATAAACCATATATATTAAATATATATATTTGCATGTAATATAACCATATATATGTGGGTATGTATATTTAGGAGAAAGAGATTCCTTGCATATCAGTTCCTACTACATAAATTAGAAGGCATCTGAGCATGAACACTGCCTGGACATTGAGATTGTTCAGTTTCTATCTAGAAATTGTATTTCCAAAGACAATTAATGGTCCTAAGTATTCAGAGGCAAACATAAACATACACTTGTGTTGACAAACAGAAGTAAAAAAAGTTTTACAAGTGTTTCTTCAATAAATGTACACACAAATCACACCCATACTTTACACAAAACAGGTGACAGTTCAACTGCTTTCATTTTCCTTGAACTTCTTCATTTCTGAAGTTTTGGAGTGCTAGGTCTTACCTATTATCCCGTCTCAGCTGGTTAGGAGATAAAACAGGAGAACTGGGCTTTGGCGGTATTGGAGGGTGAACACCTGGTTCCCTTTAAAACAGAACACAGCAGTTCATTTCACCATGGAAACATGATCTATTTTAGCATCTATTAATCGAACGCACTTATTATCTACATAAAAATATCTTATGCATGTTACAACCTCCCATACATGAGATAACTGAAAGGTCAAATCTAAAAAGCACTTAACTTTAAAGAAGTCAAATATTTAAATTATACATACTTTAAACATATAATCAAATGTTTTGAAGTCTTATCTTCTTTAACTATGATTTGAAACATGTGTGTGTGTTTTAAACAGCTTAAAATTTTGCTAGGTTATTTAGCTTAAGTCATGGCCTTTTGGATCAGCAGCACCTGAGCATAGTAAATGGTTCTTGGGTATTAATATATAAGCTCCTTTAGGAATTATGTCAACTATCAGGCAGCTACAGAAATGGCAAGGAAGGTTTTCAATTCTGCAGACCTCAAGGTAAAGTTGATTTGAAACTCTTTTCTAAATCTCCCTTAAATATTGTTAGTACAGGCCAGTTTGATGCTAGAAAGCATATACATACTGCCAGCCTAAACTTTGCAACAGTGCCTGACTGGATGACCTAGGAACTGGAGTCCGCAAATTACGTGCATATTTTGAATCAAGTCAGCATCCTACCCAGAGCATGTCACTCCCCTCACCACCACAAACATCCCATTGTCCATATCATTCTCAAGATAAATTCCATACCTACTGAAAGTAGCCTTGTGATCTAGACTTCGTGTACCTCTCTGGTTCCTGCAGCACACTAGGTGAGCATGTGGGCTCTAGACCCAGGCTGCCTGAACTGTTAGCTGTGTGACAATGAGTTAACCAGATTCAGTTTCTTCATCTGTAATAACCCTTCTACTAGGACTGCCGAGGTGTTGTCAGAACTGAATGGAATCATGTTTTTATTTAATAAACATTTATTGGTAGTTTTCTATGTACAAGGCACTCTACAGAGTGGACAATGTCCCTGTTCTCAAAAGACTTTTAATACACAAATAAATATATGATAGATGGGAAAAGTGCTATAAAGAAAAATAAAACAGAGTAAGGGGTAGAAATAGTATTTTATAGAGAATGGCCTGGGAAGGCCTTTCTGTGAAGTAAAATCTGAGCCAAGACCTGAGGGAAGTGCTCAATGAGCCCCAAGAACATCCATGGAAGAGCATATAAATATGGGCATGATCAAATTACAGATAGTGTTTAATACTTGAAACTGGATAAAACCACCAAGGGTATCAGTGTAAGCAGAGATGGAAAGTGGGCAAGTGTTGAACCCTGGGCCCTGCAATATTTTTAGATGTCAAGAATAAGAGAGGAAAACAGCAAAAGAGTGTCGGGAGAAATGTGAGGGTATGGTATCAAGGAGTAATAGTGTTTCAAGGAGTAACTGGCCATGCCAAATGCCATTGAGAAATTAAACAAAACAAGGAGTGGGGGTTAGCATGGTTTGGGCAATATAGTGGTCATTGGTAACTGATAAGAGCAGTTTTGATGGAGCAGTGGTGAAAAAACATTATAGGAGTGGATTTAAGAGAAAATGGGAAGGAGTGACATTGAGGTGCTTCTCAGTGAAGAGAGAAGTGAGAGATGCATAGCTACATGAAGGTCAAGGAAGGTTACTAGAGTAGGTAGATATGATGATGGGAATGATCCAATGAAGAGGCTAAATGTGATGGTACAGGAAATGAGGAATCTGAACCAGGAAATCTGGCTCCATGAGCCCTCCCCAACCCGTACTGACTCTTAATGGCTCCTTGGGCAGCACCAATGGCTCAGTTGAGGTTGGTACTCATAGAATTAAAATAAGGCTAGTTAACATTGTTTTATCTTGCCATACTAAGCTGCTTTGGGAGAATATACAGAGAGTTGGATTCAACTAAGTTTAGGATTCATCCAAGTAAATACAACAAAAGAATAGTGGCAAGGGAGGGGTACACATGAAAGTGATGACAATGAGGGACCGTGAGATGGACATGGAGGGAAATATGGATACGGAGGGAGGTGGAGAAACTGTGAAAGAATAATAAAATCAATGGATTGGTGGTTGTGGTGGGGGTGAGAAATTTCTGGAATCAGAAAACTGGAGAGGTGGGAGCTGGACAGACAGAAAGTGGAAGCCAGAGAGAGAAAGCTTTGAAATTGAAATTTTATACTGTATGTGGTTACCTACAAGGGCAATACCTAAAAGGTTACCTACAAGGGCGGCTCAGGTATGCTCAAGGACAAGATCATTGGAGGGGTCAAGAAAATGAAAGGCCAGGGTGGAAAAAGATCCCCTTCATAGATTTGGAAATCACCAAGTATTATGACAGGAGGCATGATTGTGAGAGACAATGAGCCTAGTGCTAAAAGCTTCAAGGAGTGAAGCGAGTGATTCAGATACCTTCAGATAATTCCTGTGTGAGGAAGAGATGTGCATGATGGCATGGCTCAAAGAAGATGAGGCGTGCAGAGGAGGAGGGAGTTAAAATTGATAGGAAGTGACCATGAGGAGCAAACAGAGCCCTGTGACATGCGGGATTAGGAGAAAAACAGTCCTCCCTGAGAGGAAGGCTGTGGGGACAGGGTTCTCCCAGAGGAGTGAGAGACCATACAGTCAGAGACTAGCTTAAAGAGCAGCAAGTTTTGATGATACTGGATGGCACATCCATGAGGCACTGTGGAAAGGTTTGAGATCAAGATGATGTTAACAAGGGTGGCAGACATTGCTGAGTTAGTCCCAGAGCTTTCTCCTAGAGTGTGGTCGTGAGACTGGGTGATGGTCTGTGGAGCAGCAGAGAGTGGAGCATGGTGGGTTTCCTGACTCTCGTGTTGATGGTGGCACTGAAGTCAGGAGAAGGGCATGAACGCATTAGAGCACTGCCTGATGAAGGTGCTCAAGTAATGCCTAGTGCTATGGTCATTGTTTTAACCCCACAGGAACCCAAAACTGAACCTGTGACAATTACTTGCATTTCCTATCCCCCTCATCCCCTACATACCACCATATTCTGGCTCCTCTCTGGAGTATTGCCTTCTCCCTTTCACCTGGATACCTCCTCCTTGCCCTTCAGACCTTGGCTTGTGTGTTACTGTCTCTAAAGGTACCCAATGCTGTGTTGGGAACATCCCTGTGTTTCTCACAGCACACCCTCTTCACAGCACATATCATGTTTTCATTTGTACATAATTTTCTGTCTCCACACTGGACTGAAAGCTCCTAAAAGGATAGTTATATCTCAAATACTAGAATTATGTGTGACATGGGTGTCCAATAAAGATGTGTGAAATGAATGAGAGGAGTGATTAGATGAGTTTCTATTTGGTGAAGAAGGAAATGGCTACTGAAGAGAGGTCTGAAACTTTCAAAATCTTCAAGTTTAGCTGCACCATAGAAGAAATCCATTGTTGATTCCACTCCTGGGTACCTAGCAGGTGCCAGGTGCTCAGCTGAGTTACTATGTTACATGATATGCTGGGAAAAACTATTTACATAAAAATGGTTTCCTGTTGTGGCTCAGGGTTAGAGTTTACAATTAGATAGAATTCATTTGTGTTGCCATCATCTTCTCAAAAAATATCTCTGTTTGGAGGATCATTTGATATCACTCACATGATCATGTGTCTTTATTGTACCTGTGTGGATTAGCTGATTATATGCTTTTCTCCCAGGGGTAAAGGATAGGGGTAAGAAGATGGTCAGTCCTGGGTTACCATGGATCTACACAGGGCACTGGATATCTGAGAACAAGCAGGAGAGGGTGACAAGATGAAAAGGATTAAAAAAGGATGATGCCAAACGGTGCTTATGCCAGAACTCATTGATGAAAAGACAAGTTACTTCCAGTTTGGAATGGCTAAGGCCCCAAAGAGGGGGGTAAATACTGATTGGGTGTGTCTGGGAGGCAGAGGTGGGTGGAGAAGTAGACGTGAGTGCCCAGTGTGGAGATGGTTTGGAGCATACCCAGGAAAGAAAAGAAAAGGTGGGTGTATAGTTGTCAAAGCCAAGAAAAGTTGGGGAGCATATTTATTTCTGAGGGTGATGCATTCCCCCGCTCCCCCCCACTGGGCAGGGGCTAGGTGATGCCACATTGACTTCAATTCACCTCAAAGGAGGTTTCATTTGCATCTCTGCAATGACAGTACCAGATGATAGAACCCCAGCCCTCTGGGAAAATGAGAGAAATCATTCAAGCCATGCCAGGAGCTCGAGGTGATGCCAAGCAGGGGGATTAAAATGCCAGAGCAATGCAGGAAGCTAGGGCCTGGAATGTTTTGAAGAGATGGAAACAAGAGACATTCATGTAGAATGATCCTGTTTGAATACCACTTTGAGACATATGTTTAAGCTTGTATTAATTGACCCTGGCTCTCCCCTCTGTCTTTCCCTCAGTCCCAGAAGACCTTTGCAGGACCAACACCAACATATTGGAGCATCCATGCTTTTGTTCTGGCCCTCCGGTCCAGTTTAAGAACCCATTGTGGCCCTCGAGTCAAAAAGTTTGCCCACCCCTGCATTAGAGGCTACAACTATGATGAATAACTTTCAGGGATAACATGGCAGTGCTCACAAGAAGCATGTGAAAACTTGCCGATAGTAGTGCAAGGACGAGAGCTAATAGAAATAACATTGTAAAGCTGTTCCCGTTACTTCCTTTTCATGTGCTACTGCAGAGATCACTTCTCATAGTGCTGTTGTTGTTTTTAAATAGTGAGCTTAGCTCTGTGACTTCTGCTCAAAACTGACTTTGTGAGGAATATTTCCATTATCACAGCACAGGTCTAGATTGAAACTAGAACAATTGACTCTTATATTTAATTATGAGTTTCATTTTCACTTTCCATTATGCCCAGCTTTTGTATCCCACAAATTTTATCTTTTATTCCAATGATGACAAAGGATATGGAACTTATATTTAACGAGTTCTAGCAACAGGCGAATTTGCCAGGCTCTTGTATACTTTATTTTATTGAATCCATCCATCCACCCTGTGGAGTGTGTATTATTATTATTATTATCATTATT